GCCGCCAACTGGATTTAACTCCGTTCACATCCCTTGTGCTTGTAATGTATCATCTAGACACTATGACAATTTTGCCTCCAACTTCAGATACATCAGTAGAGCCACCCTAGTCTGCAGGGGTGCTGTGTGCTGGTAATCTCCATGACTTCCAGTGGAAACTGTTTAGCCAAAAGCAGCAGCAGAGAACAAATCTGCCCCAAACAGCTGTCTCTCTCTTCACTACTGTGAAGACTACAAAGTCTTCTCTACTCTGTAAATAAGAGTTTGGTCCTTCCTTCCCCCGTTCTCTGAATACAGAATCTTGAGACAAGCAGATGCAACCTACTGCACTCGTTTTACTCTGGCAACAGGACAGTGGTTCATGTCATTGCCTGAGGACTCTGCCAGATGGTATCCGGCTATCATACCACTCGCCACTCAGGCTCCAGCCTGACTATGCATGGCAGCAAAGCCAGGGAGCTGCTGTGCCCATTCAGCCTCTGGCTGTCATATTACCACATCGTGAAGGTTATTGCCAGCAGAAGCAACTTGAAGCAGCTGTGAAGAGTTCAGGATTCAGTTTTCCAGCACCAGTTCAGAAGAACAGGGGTGCCGCATTAAACTGATTTAAACCTTTCTCTTGCCTATCCAGAACTGCATTTGGTGACACAGGACATCTCTCACTATTCTCTTTCTACAGCAGGCATGTCTTTGCCATTGTCCTGACTTTCCCAGCCTACAAAAGTCTTTTGAATTTCATGGTGGATTTTAATCATTTAAATAAACGTGTTCCTTTTCTTCAGAAAATATACAGCTCAGTATACATGCATCCCCAAGAATGGGTTAAAAAACAACCAGACCACACCATCCTTCTCATTATGCAAGTTGTTGAGAAGCACAGGAAAGTGAAATTGCTGTCACTCCATTATTTCCACCGCTTAAGTGGATAGAAGACAGACAGGAAGGTTATGCTTCTCTGAGCTTTTTCATTCACTGTTTTATGAAGCCCTAAGGCCTCGCTTGCTCTGTAAGAACTTACTGAAGTGATGTGCCTATTTTTGTTAAGACACATGCTTTTTAAAATAATGTGTAAACTCAAGCACACATAACAGTAATGAGCCTAGGTGGCTGGCTTGACATTCAGACTGATCACTTGTGATAAATTACAGTCACCATTTGGCAGAGGAAGAAAATAGTTTGAAGTTCAACTCGATTGACTTAACCTGAAGGTGATGAATATACAAAATAAAAATAACACTAGTCAAATGCAGTGTAGAATAGAGAGCAAAATAGGATTTTACAGCACTTTTAAGAAGATCAGAGTTTGCAAATCCTAAAAATGTGTTTAAAAAAAAGAGAGACCAAAGCTTCCAGCATTTACAGGTTGATAAAACTGTTCCTGTCGTACCCCAGATTTATGAGCATGATTTGCTGTACTGCAGAACAAGTAACGCTGCAGGATATGAGATTTCATTACCAAAAAATGAGATCAGGAATTGGCTGTGACTGAGACAGGTGAAAACAGATCTTTTACCTATAAAAGCTCAAGTGTATTCTGCAGTCTAGACAGACCACACTGTTTTCTCATCAGTTCTTTCTGCTACACTGGAGCACTTACTTTTAAATGAACTCTGTCCTGCTATCAAGCTGTGAAGCAGTATAAAAATGTATGCCACATCTCCCATTAGCAAGATGACGCATTGCAGAGTACATGACAGGAATCCTCAGGGAATACTTTGGGATTAGAAGTGAAATACTGCACAGATGGGATTGTTGGGTAAGAGAATTCCCTCTGCCCCATATAGGGCTCAGAACATTTAGAGCTTTTACATCAATAGGAAAGATCAGGCCGTTTTACCTTCTAAATATTTAAAGTACAGGCAAAAAGACATGACATACTTGAAAATCTGAAGATAGGACAGTTACAGAGATACAGATACTTGTGTTGCTCTTTTTTTCTCTTAAGTACCAAATATTCAGTAACTTCTAGGGAAGCTGAAGAGGTATGCAAACATATAAGGAGAAGGGCAGAGTTCTCATGCAAATTATTAGAAGCTAAAGATCAGGCCCCATTTCTCTCCTCCATAGTAACCTAAGGTTGAACCACACTTACTCTCTGGATACACTCACTCTCTCAACCATCAGCAGTTAAAATCTAGATTTGCTCTCTGGCAGATTACTAGAGCTACAGCATTGTCTGCTGTTGAGAAACAGGTTACACAACCTGTAAAGCCAATAAAGCTCCCAGACAAGTCCTGTGAGTGTTTATGGGAAGATACTGCGCCTTTCCATCATAGCCTATCTAGTCATTGTTGTCCTCAGTATCAAGAGATCAGGTATCTGGAGGATTTGCAAAGGCACAGAGGGCAGCAACGTGCTAACTCCAGCTGAATGCCAAGGGGAGCAGGACCTGACTTGTAAACCCTGCACCTGACATAGGCCAGTGCAAGGTATTAGCACCATGGCACCAAGCTCATTGTTCAAGTATTCCACCAGTAGCTTCGGGTTTCCCTATACATGATTAAGTCTAGCCATCACTTTCATACTTGGAATTGGATTTTGAAATGCTTGTACTGAACTCCTATAGAAATCTGTGAGCCTCTTTCTCACTAAACATCTCCCTTCAACCCCACGCTGATCAAATATGCTTTGTCAAAGTTTTGATGTCTCCTTTTGATTATAACAGATCTAGCCAATTTATGAGGTAACTGTGGAGTCCCTGTCCTGTGACTAGGACATAGTCAGAGTTTGCAAGGTCGCACCAAGTACACCCCTGGTACCTCACAGTGGGGTCACTGCTGACTGATATTTGGCTAGGGTATTCCACAGATACCCAGTGACAGAGGCTCCATGCAACCTCTACAGGCAACCTTTTTCCAGTGTACCACTATCCTTATTTTTTTGCCTCTTAATAGGAAACATGAACTCGTGTTGCTGCAACTGGAAGCCATCACGTTCTTGTCCTACCCATGAAGACTTGTTTCTCTCTTGGACTTTTTTCTCCCCTTTAAGGTAAAAAAATTCAATTCTTTCAATCCTTCCACAGTCTTGCTTACTATACCCTTAGCCATTCCTGATGCTCTTTATTAGACTTTCTCTTGTTGTTCTGCCATTTTCTTGAAGTATAATGTGTAACAACAGTCTTCCAAGATAAGGCTTTGCCTATGCTCACAGAAGTGAAGGAATCCCTTCAGACATCTTCCAAGCTTTGCTGCCACTTACACATCACAAGATGACAACATGCAAAAGCATGCCACTCTATATTCATCTCCAATTTCCACTCCAAAGCCACTGCTTCCAATTCAGCTTATAGCCACAAAAGACTAGTAGTAAGTTATCATTTGGCAGATGGCTGCTACTTGGTGGTCTCTGCCCAGTTCCACATGGATTTCCCTACTCTCCACGGGCACAGAATATAGGACCATGTTAAGTGGTCTACTACCGCACAGCATTAATTTGCTCGCACCTCTTAAAAGTATAGGTGGGGACCCCCAGAATGAACAGGCTAAATTTTGTACCATCCTCATGTCGTGCAGGAAGTCTACTCTTTTAAGACTAATAAAGAAAAGCTCATGCTGCCTCTGCCTACCTTTTGCAACCAGACTTCAGTTATCTCAGTGGTTAACTGGTAACTTTGACAAATAGTATACTAATTTAAAAAAAAACTTATGCTAAAACACATGCCCATGCAAACATTCACACATCTTTTCTTTTTCTACAGTATCTTTTGCACCAAGCACTTCAAAAATACTAATCCTCGCAAGCTCTCTATGAAAAAGCATTAACATTTCTTTGATCAGATAGAGAAACCACAGCTTAAAGAGAGGTTAAGTCAACTGCCCAAAGACATAGGGTGACTTGATGACCGTTCTAGATATCAATATCTTTCTTATGCTAAGCACATTTATGTTGAACCTGAAGATAATGGACAGCTGTATAACGCTTTTCAATACACAGCTATGCACAAAATCCATTTTCTCCTTGATAATGAGAAGCAAACACCACATGGAAAGAACAGTACTAAACACCAAATGCACAAACCTGATCACAAAGTGCAATCAGAGTCTAAAAGGAGAGCACTGTCCTTCTACGTAGCTGTCTGATGGCACCTACCCCTACAAAATACATGACTCTGCACATTCAAACTAGTAAGCTAGATACATTGTGCCAGAGGAAAACATGCCCTTTCTAAGGCCTTTGATTTGAACCTTACCTTTCCACAAGCCACCATGGACAGGGCAAGCTGGTACCAGAGATGAAATTCATCAAACGCAAACTTCATGGCTCTCTCCAAGCACTAAGAAATAAATGTTGGGAGAAATGTCAGACTTTTTTTTTTTAATGCCATCATTTTCCTCTTCTCAGTTAATGGGGCTTGCTAGCACACACCACCGCTTCAAATGACGGCCACTTTGTTCAAGTGCGTACATATAAATTATTTTAATGTCTCAAACAGTTCTGTGTACGTTTCTGGCCTGTGCTGCCATAGGTCTGTAGCGATTTCTACTAATTGCCAACTAGTGTGCTTCATTTTCACCTTCCCTGACAAGTTACTGCAAAGACAGGCTTTGCTTGCACGTTTCAAGTAGAAGTTTCAGCAGAAACCAGGAGGAGGTACCTCAGAAAGCATGACATACTGCCCTCTTCTGCCCAGCGTGATACTGAGGAGGTCGTAGACTGCAGAAGCATCCCGAAGGCTGACAGCTCGGTCATCCTGCTGGTCTGGGGCTCGGCTAATCACTGCGTCGCGGTTTGCCTGGGCACAGACACAAATGGAGCATCAGACCGCAAAAGAGCAAGAGAGAACTGACTCCTCCATAGGAAGTTCCACCCATCATCCGTGGCATTTTGTTTAAAATCATCTCGAGACTTTTTTTTTTTTAACCCATCCCAACATAAGGACGGTGTTTCCATACAGTTACTTTTTATCCACATGAAGCAAACTCAAGAAGATAGCTGTATGTACAGAAAGGAACTGCTAGGAATACCTCATCTGGATTTGTTTCACAGAATTAAAGCATTAGGAAACAGACCTACCAGATCCCATTTCCTCAATAATTAGAAATTCAAGGCCATTCTTAAACCACATTCCTTATTACTTCAATTGCCTGCAACTGTGATAACTGCTTCCATGGTTGATATTTTACCTTCTGTGTCTGCACTTGATTTCTTCCTAATAGCATGTATTTTTGCTCTTCTTTTCTGCTATTCACTTTTTATTTTTTAGTTTGAGCAGGTTGCCTTAGTAATCAGATTTGCCTGTCATCAATTTAATGCAATTAGAGGTTTGGGCAACGCAATACCAAATAATTAAAAAAAACCAAAACCTTCAAGTGTTAGTTTTTCATAATCTATCAGTGCATTGCTCAGCCTAGATCAAAAAGAAACATTACTTTTGACAGAAAATGATCAGTCTAGCAATTTGTGAGGATGTCCCAAAATACCATATGCTATAGACTCAGATTTACCTCAAGATCCCAGCCTCTCTGTTTTCTGAGCACAAAGAGGAAGATTTCAATCCCAGAGTAAACGGAAAAGTCCCTCTGATTTCCAAACGCAGAGGACTTCACCCAGACTGCCTAACCTCTGAGAGAGGCAGTGCTGGATGCCATTGAGCGCTAGCACTGACTGATCGCACAGATACGCTGCCTTGGGCTCCTCAGCTGAAAGGGTGCAACATCAGACATTCAGGTCTAGACATATAAAAGATCCAAAAAATTAGAAGATTGCCAGCAGTTTCACCTGGGGCAAAGACAAACAAAACATTCCCTCCCTGAAGCAGGTTATGAGATTTATTTTATAATACTTACTCTACTGTAATCTTACATCTATTTCTTTCTAATTGCAGGGAGATTTTTTTTTCCTAAAAAGGTTAAACATGGGAATTAAGTGTAATAAAAATTTCCAGAATATGCAGCCCTTAAAGCCCACGCATATTTCATTATGATTAAGCTGCAGCTGTTTCATCATGATCTTATCTGTGTAATGCCCCAGTTCCAAGCACTCTTCATCACAACCTCCAGCCAAGACAGCAAACACAATTACTGACAACTAACACAATCACAACCAAGAGCTAAATGGCAACTGCAGTTAAAAGGCAAACCGACAGGTCAGACTCAGTCTAGTGTTTGCACAAATAAACTTACACCATAGCCACACAAGTATTTTTCTCTTTCGTTACTGTAAAAGACGTAATTTGTGATTTTAAAAAAATAGTTCAGAACAATAGGTTGCATGAGAGAATGAAACCAACTTCAAAGAGAAAATCCTGCAACCAGAGTACAGAAGCATAGCTCGACTACTTTTATTAGCAGAACTAAACAAATAAGAATAAAAAAAATAAATAGATGTTTAAGCTCTGTTTGGATTTAACCCAAAACTGCTACTTTAAAATGAAAAAATTAGTTGAAGTAAAGGCATATACAGAATGATTCCGAGATTGCTATTTCAGAGAGTTAAAGACAAAGCATATACAGAACAATCCTTATTGCCAAGTGAATCCTCCTACATACAATAGCATTAACAATTTTTTCTGCACTGGTTACACTGTTATGACAATTGTTTGTAGAAAATAGCTACTGAGATAGCACCACCATGCTTTGTAATCTCATCATCAACCTCTCATCAGAGTCGGCCAAAGCCTGATGCTTTTTTGGGTATCCATCTAGTACTAAGTTATGATTTTTAAGTTGATGCATTAGCACCGATAGAAAATTAATCAGAATTGGTGAGTGCCCATTAACGTCTGCTAACAGATATTGGTACTAGAGGGAAGAACATGCCCAAATCCTGCAATAAGCAGGAATATGAGACATATTACAAGGATGCAACATTCTAAAATTGCAGTCAGACTGAACATATTGTACATATCGTACTTTACCTAAGCAAACAGCAGTTAAAAACAACATATGCATAGGCATGACTAATATTCTTTCCAAGAAGGTCATAAACCTGCTTATTTTGTTCAAGCTTTCAAATCTCAAAGGCATAGAAGGTCTCTGCAATCTATCACTCTCTATACTTGCATGCATAAAAGTTGCCAATGAGCAAATTCATCGCCACTTCTCTCCCAACAATTTTTCTAATACTGAACCTATTTCCAATTGGTAATTCCAGCTGCTCAAAAAAAATCACGGAGTTCCGGCTTTATCACAGAGATATTAAAAAAACAAAACCAAAACAAAACCAAAAGGTGCAAACCTCATAACAAACTGATTGAACAGTAGCAAGAACATGGTGTGTCTAATGTAAATCATCATCCCAAGGCTCAAGGTATCATTTACTACTGCCGTGTTACATACAGGAGGGTGGAGAAGGGAACGTGAATCACTATTTCTTGAAACCCACTCAGGGAAATTGGCATGCTTCTGTGGCCTGCCTCTCACAGGAGGAAGGGTGCTGTGACCCAGATCACCATTAGCCAATTTTTGTCTTTATCTTCGTTTATGTTTTTGTAAACTTCAGTTTGGCAGTAAGAAATCCTGACAATCACTGGTAAGTACTGGTGCAAAATAGTTGTAGAGTTACTGCAACATGGAATACACTGATTCTGTTGGATGGGGAATTTTACTTACTGAAATGTACACACAGAGAGATATTTCATTTTGCATTTGAGAATGCAAAAATTCTAAGCCATTTACACCAATATTTTTTCAATATCTGTTTCTGTTGTTTCAGACCATTAATTTTCCTGAATACAAATGGAAAAAAGGTTATTTGTAGAACACTGATCTCTAAACAGTGCATCAATAACATAATTTGTCCTACCGCATTACTTCCTCCTCCTCCACTATAAGCAGCAGTAAAACATAGCTACAAATACATTTTCCACACCCCCAGCATGAGTCTTCCCTTTAAGCTGTTCCCATTGTCACACAGACATGCCTCACACCACACAAGCAGGATGGAGAGAGACGGTGAATCACACCATTAAAAGAAGAGAACCTCTCTCCGAGGCTGTTGTGTGGGATGGAGAAGGTCACTAATACTACCAACAGGAATTTCACCATCGGGAGTTAGTGTAACTTGCATTATACAGAGCAAAAACATACAATCAATGCCCCTTTATTTGAGGTACTCCGCGGTAATGGAGCAACCCAGAGATGCATCACATTTGCTTATTTTGGGATGCATTAAACACAATTAGCTGTGCATGCATCTGGCTCAGACATGACACCAATCCTATCTGGGGAGACAAGACACATCCTGTAGTCAGCCCAGACTAAGCAGCACACAGGACAGCGAGCACCTTCAGCCCTCCCTTTCCGCAGCCCAGGGACACAGCCAGCCTGCAGGCCACAACATCCAAAAGGCTCCAGCACAGGCTGGTACCCCAAGCCAACCCAGCGCTCAGCCATGCTGATGTCTCTGTATCACGCTTGAAGCCCAACTCAGGTGTTCAACCTGACCAGGCACAGAACCAGCTGGGGCTTAGCAGGGCTTTTTAGGTCCTGCTCCAAACTGCAACAATACAACAATATAGGACTTTCAGACCCACACTGGCTCTGATAGCAGGGAAGAGATCTGCCTTTCTGGGAGATCTGCAATTTAACTAATGACCCTGCTGAGCTACAGACAGCTTGTGCCTTCCTATCCACATATACAATATACTTACCTGCAAACTAGATAAGATAACTAGATAACACACAGAGGATTTGCTGTACATTAATGACCCTGATAACTACAGCTTATTTTTGGCATGTTTATTACATGCGGAAAGGAAGAGAGCCACAGCAAATCCAAACAGCCATTACTTCAGCAGTTATTACGCATGCAGTTACGTGGCAGAAAATTAAATTTTACCACAGTACAAAGATGTGCTTCTTAATAAAACGTCAAGCAATCATATGAATTACAGTAGAGCATATTCCACGTCGCAGCCCCTTCTCACAGCAATTAGCTATGAAGTATCCTTTAATTGCTCACTTTGAAACATGGCTCCCCCTGCTTTTTTCCAAAGAAGAAAAAGAAAGCAATTAAAATCTTTAATGAGTGCCTGCTGCCTGCCCCCTAATTCATGGGCATTCTAATGTTCAACTTTTGTCTTTTCATAATAGACATAATTGCCAGATCCACTGCAACCCATCTATACAGAACGGCAGCATGTTTTACACAGTGTACTGTAATAATGTAATTGGTGTGATTCAGTACTAGCATTAAGAGAGAAAAACAAATGCTATGTGTGTAAGATTGACAACAAGCCTTTGAAATCATGCAATTGATGCCTCTACTGCTAAAAGCTGGGAAATATTTAGCCCATGTCCTTTGGATCTCCATTCTGGCTGTTTTGCCTGTACGGCCAACCAAAGGAATGAATTCTTAGTAATGGCAAGGACCCATTCACATCGAAGAGGCTACTGACTTTTCACCTAAGTTATTGATGATCTCTACACAGCACTTGAAGGTTCCCCTCACTAACATATACAAAGAAAATATTCAGGGTTGACTGCAAAGCTGCTGTGAAAATGGGAAGCAGGTGGAACAGGGAGGAAATACCATACTCCAGCCACACCCACGATACCACAACTTGCTCCATTTCAGACCAGAAGCACAGCAAATGAAAACTTACTGCCTTGTGAACTGTGTGGCATCTGTCTCATTTCTGGTAGGCAATAGATCACAAGTGACTGGTACCCCATTCGGGTGTCTCAGCAAAACAACCCATTATTATTGGTTATCAAATATGACCATATAGATATATCTTATCTCTCACCAAGTATATTTTAACATCTTGTAGCAGAACTAATTCTGAAAACA